CAAATACTGGTTTCCTAAAGCCTGCATTTTTAACCACTTCATTTACTGCTTAGGTAAATCAGCAATTTTCTGTGATACTAACCTCCAGTCATAGAGCTAATTTGGTTTACTATATATTTTTTCAAAACCTTTCAAACCAGAACACATTGTTTATTTTCTCCATTTTTAAAACTCCTCCATTGGGTGTTACACTTTAATATAATTTATAAATGCAATATGTATAAGATATTTTAAAATATGAGTCTTCATACATTGAAAGCCCATAGTTAGTGGATTAGTAGGTGAATTAATATATGTTAAAATATGTTATATGTCATTCTTTCCTACCCCAAAGTTTAGAATGAGAATTGGACAGGGTCTTGCTATGTTGCCCAGGCTGGAGTGCAGTGACACGATCCATGATCTTGGCTCACTGCAACAACCTCTGCCTCCCAGGTTCAAGCTATTTTCTCACCTCAGCCTCCCTGGTAGTTGGAATTACAGGTGTGAGCCACCACACCTGGCTCATTTTTATATTTTTAGTAGAGATGGGGTTTCACTATGTTGGCCAGGCTGGTCTCAAACTTTGGCCTCAAGTGATCCACCCACATCAGCCTCCCAAAGTGCTGGGATTATAGGTGTAACCTACCACACCCAGCCTGTCAGATCTGATGACCTGAAAATTCAAAAAAAAAAAAAAAAATATATGCACATACACAGAGACAGAGAGATAATCTTCTTTTGCTAAATGGAAACTTTCAAAGTTTGGAATTAAGTAAGTGCTAAGAAATTGAGTTAGGTCCAACAATGCTTTGCCTTGATTTCTCTTGCTTCTAATTCAAGATCAGTTCCAAACTTTAACTTTTATTCTGTTTGTCAAATACTCCAACATGCCATGAACAAAGACAGAGTCTGGATGAGAGATGTTGCCACTGCAGGTCATTTATTTTTACTTGAATTCACTATTTTAAGTAAAAATATATACTAAAAATAACTAACATTTATTGATAATACCAGAGAGCTTTCTTTTAAGGCAAATGTTCTTGTTGCCCACATCTATCCTTTTTCTACATACATATGGAATTGAACAAATTCCTAAAATTCTTACACCTTAAATTATTAAAATGTTAAAAACAAATCGCAATTTGAATGACATTACATGTACTTTAATTCATTATTTGAAATAGGAATCAAGGTAACTTTTGCTCAGAATATATCAGCATTCATTTTGGATAACTGCTGAAATTCATTAAAAGTAACCTGGACGTTACTAAATGAGATCCAGAAGAAACTTTAAGAAATAAAGGTGTGTTTTATAAAATGTGTGTCAAAAAAAGTCAGGCTATGCTACGACCATCCAAGTACTGGGAACATAAAATTCAGAATGAAAAAGGTAAAAAAAGCAGAGAAAATTAGGATCTCAAAAGGAAATGTACAGCTAAAGTACTTATTCTTGGTCAGAAAGGGGTACATTGTATTTTTTTTAATCAAATGCGCACCTTTGGTGATGAGTGTCATCAACTTCACCTTCTAGCACAAAGATGAACAAATTAGACACAGCTCTTAGGCAAGTAAATGTACCTAGAAATTCTAACTGCTACTGATAGGCAATTTGATTAAGAAAAATTTTAAAGGTAGAGTTTTCCCTGACATAGTCAAGCTGAATGTCAGCTACAAGCATATTACGGTCTATATCTTAATAGGTAGGTCTGGGGTCTTAGCCTCCCCAGCTCACCAACAGATGGTTATTGAAAGTGACTGTTTGTTGGGCCCTCTGAGAAATTCAATAAGGAAAAATGTAATACGAGTCTGCAACCTATTTAGAGGAAAGATAACTAATACAACTGGATTACTAAGTGAATTAATATATGTTAACAACTTAAGACAGTACTTTGTACAAACTAAACTGTCAATAAACATTAATTGTTAATTAATCATCACAATAACAGCAGCTAAATTCTATGAGGCAGAAGTCACATAGGTACAAGGTGAGCACTGGTAAAGAAGAGATGAGTATGGTTAGTAATGAGGGATGGCTTCACATGAAGGAAAACTTGAGTTGATTTCTAGAAGTATATGAACAGAGCAGAGAGAGGGGTAAGGAATAGCAGCAAGGAAAAGTAAGACACAGGGGATTCATTTGGTCCTATGTTTGGCATACCGGTTCCTTATTCCTTGTGCCTATCACTTTTTTTTTGAGATTTATAAGAAAAATATTTTTAAATTATTTAAAAATTAATATTATTTTTAATTGAAAAATCACAAATGTATACATTTATGGGGTACAAGGTAATGTTTTAGTATATGTATACCATGTGGCATGATGAAATTAAGCAACGTACCTACCGTCTTGCTTACCTATCATTTTTTATGGTGAGACATTTGAAATTTACTCTCAGTTATTTTGAAATATACAGTACATTATTATTCGCTAATCACCTTGCTGTGCAATAGATCTCAAAACTTATTCCTCCTGTCTAATTGAAACTTTGTACCCTTTGATCAACTCCCTATTCCCTCTTCTTCCCCAACCCTTTCCACCTTCTAGTGCTTGGCAACCACCATTCTACTCTGCGTTTCTATGACTCCAACTTTTAAATTTACTTTTAAGTTAAATTAAATTATAGTTTTGAGACAGGATCTCATTCTGTGCTCAGGCTGGAGTGCAGTGGCACAAACATGGATCACTGCAGTCTCAGTTGCCTAGGTTCAAGCAATTCTCCCACCTCAGCCTCCTGAGTAGCTGGGACCACAGTTGTGTGCCATCAGGCTTAACTTTATTTTCTGTAGACAAGGTCTCACTTTGTTGCCCAGGCTGGTCTTGAACTCCTGGGCTCAAGTGATCCTGTTGGGATTACAGGCATGAGCTACGGTGCCTGGCCTGAGTCAAGTTTTTTAGATGTCACACTTAAGTGAGATCATGCAGTCTTTGCTTTTCTATTCCTGGCTTATTTTGCTTAGCATATATTCTCTGCATTCATCCATGTCGCAAATGACAGAATCTTTATTTTTAAAGGCTGAATAGTATCATGTATATATACCACATTGTTTTTATTCATTGATAGATTGATTTCGTATCTTGTGTATATATAGCACATTTTCTTATCCATTCATCTGTTGATGGACCCTTAAGTTGATTTCATATCTTGGCTATTGTGAGTAACCTGCAATGAATATGGGAGTGCTGCATATATCACCCCTTTAAGTATAGAGCTGCTAGTATGATTGGCTATAAAAGATGTGCATGCTGACTAGTATTAGGAAGTGAGGTTGCAATGGTCTGTGTGGGTCCAGATCATAGAGGACCTTAAAATCTTGGCAGAGGAGCTAAGTTTTAAAAGTAGGCTATGGAAGGCCATCATAGATTCTGGAACAGAGGAACTGGGGTACAGAATAGTGGTTATAAGTTGCTGCTGTAAAGTTAGGTGACCTGGGCCTGAATCCTGGCTGCTCTTTTATTAACTGTGTGACTGCCTAGCTGCTTAGCTTCTCAGAGCTTCAATGCTTTTATCTGTAACATGAAAATAGTAACTCCTACCTCATTCTTTGTGTGAATTCATTTAAAGTGTTGAGCACACTCCCTGTCACATAGTAAGCACTCTCAGTAAGTGCCAGCTGCTATGACTTGGGAGGCTAAGGCTCTATGTGATGAGGCCTATGTGGGTGCAGTTACAGATGCAGGGAAATTGCGAGGAGCAAGTCATTCTAATCCTCTTAGAAGAAACGTCCATTGGGAAACCTGGACTTCCACAAGATTTTGAGCTCAGTGATAATTAATCTAAGTTATGAAGTTCAAAGCAGAAGTTAGGCCGGGTTTCTAAGCACAAAAATGTGGCAAGCTGAAATGATTTCAAAGTGAAATGATCACATCAGTATATCCTTATGATAATATATATCCCTCCTTTCTAAATTACTCGCACTAAAACAGGAGTTTTAGAGTTCAGAAGGGTTAGTGTCTAAAATCATAGACTAAATTAGAAGTGACTTCAGTAGGCTTAGAAAATACCACTTTGTAGGAAAAAAACAACCCCTCTCCCCAAACAAATTTTACCAAAGACTGAAAAATAGATAACTATCTTAACAGTAAAGAACACTCAGTTATAGGCTAAACTCTTTATCTACCTTGTCTGTGTGTTTAATGTGGCAATGGTCACCAATGTCCCTTGAAGTACAGTAATATTCATTTGCGCCTCCCCCACCCCTGCTCTGCCCTTGAAGTTCCAGAAGGGCAGATGCAAAATAACATTTATCCTTGCGCTGTCCATCGTTATTGAACAAGTAGATACTCAATTATTTGCTGAACTAGAATGAATTTGTGAAAATGATCATTCTAAATGAAGGCTGTGTCACACACCCACACACCGGGGCCTGTTGGGGGTGGGTGGGCTAGCGGAGGGCTAGCAGGCGGTGGGGGGATTGGGGAGGGATCCATTAGAAGAAACACCTAATGTAGGTGGGCAGGAGGTATGGATGCAGCAAACCACCATGGCATGTGTATACCTATGTAACAATTCTGGACGATCTGCACATGTACCCCAGAGCTTAAAGTATATTTTTAAAAAACTCTTAAACACATACCCTTGTATCTAAAATAAAAGAGTAATCTCATGTCCTGGGATGTCAAAAAAAAAAAAAAAAAAAAAAAGAAAGAAAGGGACTCTGAGCTTCAATGTGGTTAGGCTTATTTTCTACAAAATTACTTTCCCAACATCCAGTGAGTTTTGAATTAAGAGAATTTATTTAAATCCTCAGTAGACTTTTCAATCAATCTAAACCGTCTCCTTAACTGAACATCTAGACAGCAGAGAGAGAGAGAGAGAGAGACAGAGAGAGACAGAGAGACAGAGACAGAGAGACAGAAAGAGAGACAGAGAGTGAGATCGGGCGCCACAGACAGAGTTCGAGCCACAAGACTGTCGGTGTAGAAGTTCCAGAAATCCGCATCCACCCGAAACTCGTCAGAGAAGTTCGGGCTGCGCGCCTCCCACCGCCTTGGATGGGTCCCAGCCGAGAATACTCACTGGGCTGAGCCAACTTTGCTCTCCCTCTTCCCGAGCACTTTCGCAGGCTTTGTGTCTTCCACATCTTGCTGTAGTTCGGTCATCGGGGCCGTGTCTGGAGGGCACCTTCAGACCTCCGCGCGCCCGGCTGTTCCCGGCTCGTCCCGGCTTCTAGGTCCCGGGGCGCAGGCCGAGCGAGCCGCGCCGTGCCCTCCTGCCCTGCAGCCTCCGCCCCGCGCATCCAGGCCGGGCCGCACGAGCTCCCGGGCAGCGGACCTGGACACGTCGGAGCCGGCGCGATTGGTCCGACCCAGTGTGGAAGAGCCGGGAGGGAGGGAAGGGGAGGGTCGAAGCGAAGTGACAGCCCCTTTCCCCAACCCAGGAGGCAGAGAAGAGAGAAAGGAAACCTGTTGAACGAGTCTTTCGGGAGAGGAAGCTAATTGGCCAAGCAGGTGGAACATTTGCCTAAGAGGGAACAATCTATTTAGCCTCCTGGTAAACTGGGCCTTTTCTTTTCTATCCCGACTGCAACAGGGGGATTCTAAAAAGGGCAGCCGGCTCTAGATACCGGAAATGTAGACGTCTGAGTGGGACGTTCTCTCACACAAAAGCCCTGCGTGGGCTGGGCTATACCCCGTCCTGAATTATTCAAACAGGTTATTGCTTCATTGAGGGACTGCCTCTTCTGCCTCAACAATAGGTCTGCTCAATTTTTAATGTGGGAATAACAAAGGTAATAGGTAGTTGCCTTTGGTGCTTTTTGATTAACCCTTCATCTTCTCTGGGTGGTTAGACGGTAAGAAGAAGCAATCATTAAAAATCTTCCAATATTGGGTTATGACTGTCCTTATCAAAATCAAAATTGAGGTCTGATAATTCCCAAGCTGTCTCTTTGGTATCCATAGTTGTACAAGTACCTTATTTACTATGCACTCAAGCAATACTGTGAATGCCTCTTTCCACCTTTTGGTGAGATTTTGACTTGCCGGTTTTAAGGATTTGCATTAGACGCATCCGTTTACTCATGCATTGAATGGACTTTTGAGAGCCACCGTGTTCCAAGCATTGTTCTCAACCAAGGGTGTCCAGTCTGTTGGCTTCCATGGACCACACCGGAAGAAGACAAATTGTCTTGAGCCACACATGAAATACACTAACAGTGAGGATAGGTGATGAGCTTTTAAAAAGGTCCGTTAAGGGGCCCTGCGCAGTGGCTCATGCTTGTAATCCCAACACTTTGGGAGGCGAATCATTTAAGGTCAGGAGTTCAAGACTAGCCTGTTCAACATAGTGAAACCCCGTCTCTACTAAAAATACATAAATTAGCCGAATGTGGGTGGGCGCCTGTAATCCCAGCTATTTGGGAGGCTAAGGCAGGAGAATCACTTGAGCCCGGGAGGCGGAGGTTGTGGTGAGCCCAAGATGCACCACTGCACTCCAGTCTGGGTGATGAAGTGAGACCCGATCTCAAAAACAAAGCAAAACAAAAACAAAATCCGTGCATAAATGTCATACTATCTTAAGAAAGTTTACAAATTTGTATTGGGCTGTATTCAAAGCTGTTCTGGGCTGCAGGTTGGGCAACTTTGTTTAAACATTGACTTGTTACAGCAAATAACATTTGTGTTGGTGGTTTTCTAATTTGCTACGGAGTAGTTGACAATAAAAATAACTAATATAAAACGTTATTATTGGAAGCCTGACTTGACTTTAAAACAATTACAAGTGGCAACAGTAGAGCATGACATGCCTGGGGAAAAACTACTATGTCCTGGGGGTGCAAGTCCTTCATTTTTCTTTTAAAATAGAGTTTTGATTTAAGCGTATTACAAAGACTATGCAACCATAGTACCTAAATGTATGTATGTATGTTTTTAGGGTATACATGTGTGTATAAAACACCAAACCTTCTAAATAACTTCAAACATTTTGTAGACGCAAATTCTTTCCAAAATTTTCTTTTCTCCTTTTACGTATAAATCACTGGGCTGAGAGAACAAAGCCATCTTTTTGTAGCCTGCTTGCTCCAAAATTGATTCTCGTGACATTTGAAAAATAAGTAAAAGAAAAAAGCTGACATAAATTCCAGAAGAGTTAGCTTGGTCAGGCCTCTCTCTCTCATTTCTTCCTGACCACTGATCCCTTTGCTATAGGAGCTGTGCTAGGTGGGACGGGGAAAGCTCTGGGTGACCTGAAAGCTTGAAGGTTGTCTCCTTGGTGCCCATAATTGTCTCTTCCTGGCAACATTCCTGATGCCTTCACCTCTAGGTCTTTGCTTGAGATCCCCATGCTCCTCAGGATAGGGATAGGTTTGGAATAGAAATGAGGCTGTCAATTTCCCAAACTCTGGATGGGGACTCTCTCAAATCTCAAGTGCCCTCCAAGTTTTGACTACAGAGCTGAGATCAGACTGACTTTTCCCCCCTAAGTAATTTTTTTATTGTGGTAAAGTATATATAACATTACTGTTTATCATTTTAATAAGTATATAATTGAGTGGCATTCAACACTTTCACAATGTCTTTAACTATCACCACTATTTTTTTAATAATCCTCAGCATACACTCCCACTAAACCCATTAAACAATAACTCTCTCTTCTCCACCTCCTCCCAGCCTCTGGTAACCTCTGTTTTATTTTCTGTCTCTATAAATTTGTCTGTTTTAGGTACCTCATATAAGTGGAATCACACAGTATTTTTCCTTTGTGTCTGGCTTATTTCATTCAGTGTAATGTTTTCAAGATCAATCCATGTCATAGCATATATCAAAATTTCATTTTTTGGCTGAATGATATTCCATTGCATGTATATACCACATTTTGGTTGTCCATTTATCTGCTGATGGACACTTGGGTTGTTTCCAGCTTTTGTCTATTGTGAATGCTGCTGCTATGAACATCGGTGTGCAAATGTTGTCTGAGTCCCTGATTTCATTTCTTTTGAATATATACCTAGGAGTAGACTTGCTGGGTCATATGGCAGCAAGATTTCCTTTTGGGAAATCATGGTCAGGCCTCTTTAATGCATGAGTAAGGGCAAGTATTCCAAGTGGTCCTAGCATGGGCTTATGGCTCAATTAAAGAGCGCTCAGATACCCTGAAATAGTTTGAAGTTCTTTAGTGCATGGTATAAGGACTTCCAGTGGTGTGGTTTTAAGTGAGAAGGAGCAGATGAGGTTGAAGTGGAAGCTGGGGGAGTTAGGGAAAATATCAGTCTTTTCCTAGAGTGGAAGAATTAGGAGCAAGTAAGCTACATTATTTCACATACTGATGTTTGCTTATGTTTAAAAAACATTGTTAAACAACTGCCTAATTTGTTTATTCTTGGGGCTATTATACAGTAATATGGAATATAGTATTCAAAAGGCACAGCAGACAAACAATAAAGGAAATGTCATTGCCATGTGACAAAATAGAGATAAAGATTATGCCTATGATATGTGAGAGAAGAGACAAGAAAAAAAAGATTGTGCCTAAACTGTTTTAGGATGCTGTTTGATATTGCATCAATAAGAGACATTATTTTCTTCCACTAAGTTTCTGGGAATCTAAATTCTCCTTTTTAAAGCAAAGGCGATTTCTAGCTGATACTTTTTCTAGTTTTTGAAACCACTTTGGTAGAAGATGTCAGGCATATCACCTTTAGAGAGTGTGGGAGCTTCTATTCAAACGACTTCGATGTTTGATATTGGTCAGATACTGGCCTTCCTTAACAATGAGCACGCATACTGTGCATCTGTTCATAGTCTTGGGGGCAGAATACAAATAATGTGTTTGGATACTTGAGTGGAGATTTGGTTGCAAGGTGATATGATTTGGCTCTGTGTCCCCACCCAAATCCCATGTTGAATTGGGATCCTGAGTATTGAATTGGGGAAGTGATTAGATCATGGTGGTGGTTTCTGATGGTTTAGCACCACTCCCCTAGTGCTGTCTTGTGATAGAATTCTCATGAGATCTGGTTGTTTGGAAGTCTGGAGCACCTCCCCCTTTGCGGCGCTCTCTCTCTCTCTCTCCTTTCTCTCACTCTACCATGTGAGGACAGTGCTTGCTTCCCCTTTGCCTTCTACTATGATTGTAAGTTTCCTGAGGCCTCCCCAGAAGCAGAAGCCTGCACTGCCCATGGAACCTTGGGCTGATTAAACCTCTTTTCTTTGTAAATTACCCAATCTCAGGTAATTCCTTATAGCAATGTGAGAATGGACTAATACACACTGTATGGTCAACTATTATAGTTACCTAATTTAAAACATGTGGTGGTGTATTTATTAACCAATAAAAGTATAGGTAAGTATCTTCACATGCCTGTAATTTTATGCATATTTTCTGATGATAGGTTTTAGAAGATGTTGATGACCTTATCAAGATGAAACCTGGAAGTTGTATAATAACTTAACTATGCATGATATTTTATAAGTAAAAGAATTCCAGGAACGATTGTCAGACCATTCCTGTTTTTAATTAAGGTCAGTATCCAAAGAAGGAAATGGGAGTAAAAATGGAGAGAGTTCAGAAGAGAAACACACAGTGACAATGAAGAACTTAATTCTAAGACTTTCCAAAAAATTGTAAGAATGAAAGTTGAGAAGCATTATCTGAAGGGGTACCTTTGTTGAATGATGTATGTCAATATGAAGAAAAGGTTCCCCGTGAATATAACCATGAAATATTGGAATGGAACTCTGTAGTAGACTATGGCATCTTCTGTGTTGGAGGGCTTTGAAGATAAGATTAAAAAAATTAATAGAGTAGTTTTAAGCTAGTATTTCCCAAGCCAAGTGATACTGCAGATTGGGACATTTGAAATCTATTCCTAGAGATGAAACAACTACTATGCTTAGCACTCATGTTGAGAGGAATAGACAAGATGGCAAGGGCTTACTGGTCCAGGGGCCAGAGGGTAGTTGTGAAACACTAATATAAATCTGGTTCATTGAGAAGGCAGAAGCAGTAAAAAAACTCTTCCAGTTCGTATTATTTTTATTTATTTTATTTATTTTTTTGAAATGGAGTTTTCGCTCTTGTTACCCAGGCTGGAGTGCAATGGCGCGATCTCGGCTCACCGCAACCTCCGCCTCCTGGGTTCAGGCAATTCTCCTGCCTCAGCCTCCTGAGTAGCTGGGATTACAGGCACGCACCACCATGCCCTGCTAATTTTTTGTGTTTTTAGTAGAGACGGGGTTTCACCATGTTGACTAGGATGGTCTCGATCTCTTGACCTCGTGATCCACCCGCCTCGGCCTCCCAAAGTGCTGGGATTACAGGCGTGAGCCACCGCGATGATGCCACAGAACCAAGAAATTAAAATCTATCTCAAAGCTTTAAAATACATGCCTATTTTTTATGTGGCAAATGCTACAGATTACAGTGTAATCTGTAGGGTCCCTGTGATCATCCAGCACAGTGGTTTTCACGCTGGGTTCTGTGGGAGACCAGGGCTCTTTGTTTTAGTGAGAGGAGGGCCCAGCACTTGAACTTAGGTATTCTGATTCCTGGGTCTATTTCCTGATACTATTTCAGTGCAATCTCTCCTGCTTCAGTTAGCACTCATCTACTTGTATCTGTTTCA